TCAAAAGAATTAAAAATAGCATACTTCGGGTGGTGGATAACCGATTACAAGGCAATCAAATATTGTAGGCATATGTGAGAAGACATGCTTATTTTTGAGTTGACGAATAAATCCCGGAGGATATGGCAAACCACCTCTGCAAATTTCATCATTCGTCGATAATTAATCATTTACAATTCTTCAAACTAATTAACGAGTTAGGTTTAATCGTTATCTTATTTCAGCTTAAATTGTAATTAACGTTAAAAAAAATATCACTGCTTACCGATCTCGATCATCTTCATAGCCTGGTACTTCTCTTGGCTTAATGATTGTAATAGCTCCTTCAGTTTGTGCTGTGCCAAGTTTATTGGTAGCTTCTAAAGCATATTCTGCTTCATCTTTTAATGAAGCATTGAGAATTACACAATGATGTATGCCACGTTCATCGGTCCATACTACCACTGGACCATCTGGTCCACTGGATTTTAATTCTTGACCATTTTTAAACCATTTCACAGTTGGAGTTGGCCAACCTGACGTGCATACTTGCATTTCGATAGTATTTCCCTAAAAATTAACTAACTTTTAAATTTGTTAAAGCAATCAAGGAAATTTTCAAAGAATTAAAGCGTAAAAAAGAAGAAATGAAAATATGAAAAAAATTAAACTTATACCTGATGTACACTCATATCATATAAACCACGACGAATACGTGGTTTACTTTCTATCGGTTCTTCATTAATAAGTGTTTCGATTTTCTTTGCTGGTATTGTTCGATCACCTGAATTAATAAATATTCTGAATTAATTAAAATCTAATAATTTTAGGAAAATTTTCGAAAATTATTAGATTATTAAAAGTTATAATCCTGAACTTGCTATATTGGTTATATTAATTGTTTAGTATATTAAGGACAAAAATTGTGTAAGTTATTTTTTAATTTTTAACAATATTTCAATGAAATGAATAGTTAAATTATCACTTACTAACAACAAAATTTTTAGTTATTTAATTTATTTTACAATTTATAAATCACTATATTACTAAAAATTTTAGAAAAAAATTCACAAAAGTTATTATTACCTTCAAGTACAATCTCTCCTTTGGTAGAGGCAGTACCGTACTCATTCGTTGCTACACATCGATAAAATCCTTCCGCAAAGAAATCAACATCTTTCAAAATTATACGTTGTGTTTTATCATCTAAACTTTCAATCTGAAAATTTGCAAATTTTATATTATTTTTACGAAAAGAAATACAAGAAAAAAATCAAATAATTTATTGTAATTTCCTGTCTTTTAAAGTGAATTAAATTTAAACAAATAAATAAAAAAAAAAGTTTTACCGTAATCTTATCGTTAACTTCAATTTCAATGCCATCTTTGAGCCATTTGATTTCTGGAAAAGGTTTCCCGTAAGGGACACATTCCAGGATGACAGTATCACCTGCTTTGGCACGTTTCATGGTAAGTGGCACTGAGAAACCTGGCGCATTACCTTCGCGAATTTCATCCTCGAAATTACGTTGTGGTTTCTTTTCTTTCACTGCAAGCTTTTTAATTAAATGAATAACATAGAAAGAGAGAGAGAGAGAGTGAGAGAGAGAAGAAAACAAGATGATTATTTTTTAATTAGTCAAAATTTGCATAAATTATTGTCAATATTGAAATATTTGTAAAATATATCAATAGTGACAATAATTTATACTTAAATAAAATTCATCAATTTTCTTTATTAGATTTTCAAATATTAGGCAATAATATGCATAATTGATGATGTAATTTAAATGTTAATTCTAATTACAAACATTGTACAGCGACTTCACATATTGTTCTATCGGAACCATAAATATTCTCGGCAACACATCGATAACAACCGCCATCAAATCGATTAGCATTTTTGACGGTCAATTCACAATCACCATCTTCGGTTTCGGTCTGTGAAATAATTATTTAATCAGTTAGTTTAAATAAATTTTTATTGAAGTTCAATGAAATGAGACAATTTTATTATTGAGTAAGCAAATTAATGGCGTAATATTCAATTTTGAAATTTTTTAAAATTCTAGAAAAAATATTTTTTTGAATTAAAACTCACTAAAATACAATGATTATAGGAGTAAATACGTTCACCGTTCCTGAACCATTTAATTTTTGGACGTGGATCACCGCTAAATTTGCATCGTAACGTAAAGCTGTTATCTTCCATAACTTTGATATTCTCAAGTGGTACAATAACACGTGGAGCACGATATGCATCGAATTTCTCGCTGAAAAATGAAAAATTGTCTAAATCTTTTTTAAATCCAATCCAAATTTTATCATAATACAAGAGAATAAATTAATGGAGTAGAAAAACACATAATACTATAAATTATAATTAAAGTTAAATGATTAAATTGAAAATGCCATATATTGTCGATGATAATTTAAGAAAAATTAGCGTAACTTTTTAAGCAATTTGCACTGAAATGTTCGAAACAATGTTTTAATTAAAGACAAGGTCCTATGCTATCAATAATTTATTAAGCGTTCTTTTTTCTTTTTTTTTCAAATTTTTGAAAAATTTTTTACCCGTCCATAAAACCATTGGTTGCATCTTCGAGTATTTTCTTTACTGTTGCAGTAGCTTTACTATGTGCTGAACCAAATGGATTAGTTGCAATTACACGATATAAACCTGAAATTAAAATAAATTCAGTTGAATTAAACTCAACTTAACATTTATTTCAACTATCAAACTATTCCTGTTTATTGATAGTATATTTTAAATTATGCTAAAATATTGATTCATTCTTAAAATTTTGCCTTCATCATTTGCGTTGCATGAATTGATAATAAGACGCGCTCGTCCATCTGAATCACATTCAATCTTGATTCTATCATCGGGAATCACACGTTCACCGTCTTTATACCAAACAAGATCGGTCAAAGGAGTACCTTCTATTTTGCACTCCAATTTCAATGGTTGACCTAAAATGATTGATGTAAGATCACAAAACGATTAAATATCCTTTTCATATTTCATCATAAAATAAAACTTTGAATTCACTATTATTTCAAGTTTCATCGAATACAACCAGAAAATATACCTTCAATGGCACGTGCATCACCCAAAGTAATGGTAAAACGTGGTGGTTCATTGGAAGATGGCTTTTGAATGAAACTTCCATCTGCAAAATCATACTTCAAAAATGCTTAAAATTAATAAGAAATTATTTACTATTGTAGATGAAAAAATTTACCAAGTATTAAGTTAAATAAATTAAAATTGAAATCGTTTAAGATATATGATACCATCAATCCTGACGAATGATTTCGTGGTAGCTGAACCAGCAGCATTCGTTGCAACACATCGATATGCGCCTTCGTCATTTACATTTGCATCGTTAATCTGAATATTTTTCGTAATTTAATCATCATTTTTTTTTTAAAAAAAAAAAACTAATATGGAATGCAAAAAATTCTTTAAATTTTATTCTCAAAATTTACAACATTATAATCAAATGATTTGAAAGCATTTTAGCATAAAATAGTTTATTAAACTGGAAAATATTTTGAAATCATCTGAAATGAGCACTTTTTTCGATAAGAAAATTACTCACTGATTTATCACAATTCAAAAATGATACATTTATTAAAAAATTATTTTATATGATCATGCATATCAATTATTTCAACTGCAATATTTTATACTGCTATTAAACATAATATAAATGGAAAGTTGTGATAGCTGAAACCTTCAACCGATAAGTACCAGCTGCAGCATCTATTTCCCATTGATAGCGTGAATCATCGCGAAGTATCATACCATCTTTGGACCTAAATTAAAGAATTTGAAAATTGTTGAGTTAAATCTTACTCTTTTAACTAATTTATTTGATAATCAATGGATGGAAAAAAAGCTGCACTTTACTACTACTCATACTCTACCAATGATAGATGAAGTGATATCGCGTTATAATAATGCTTATTTATGTATAAATTTCAAACAAATTTACCATTTAGCTGTTGGCATCGGATCACCAGTTACTTTACATTCCAAATCAATTGTGGAGCCAACATAAACAGTTATATCTTGAAGAGGAATGATAAATCGTGGAGCTTGACCTTCTACAATCTTCTTTTCCAATTTTTCAATTGGTCCTACAAAAAATTCAAAAAGAACAATTTTTTTTTTTACAAAAAGAATAATTCATCGATGAAATTTCATCATTTCGAAAATTGCTTTATCCAATAAAAAGTGAATTTAAAAAAAAAAGATTTCAGAATTTGATATAAACTAACTCTCAATGTGAACAGTTGATTGTGTTCGTGCTTTTCCATTACAATTTTCAGCATCACAACGATAAATTCCTTCATCACTCATTGCGCATTCATCGATTGTTAATGTGCACAAACCATCCGATGTATTTCCGATATTAATTTTATTATTTGGTCGTAGCAAAATTCCATTACGATACCTTAAATTTTAAACAAAAAAAAAAATTTGGTAATATTCAAAGGCATAAATTTTAGATATGAATATTTTTGCAAATTTAAAAAAAATTTCGGTTATTAAGTCTTTTAAAATTTATAATATATTATGAAAATTACGAAATATAATCATACCATCGAATTTCTGGTTTTGGATCACCAATTACGGTACATTGTAAGATCAACTTTTCACCACGTTCTAACCATTTATCCACTAAACCTTTGGTGAAAAATGGCTCTTCACCTTCTTTTTTAACTTCTTCTTTTATTTTACGAATGGATACCATACAAGCTGAATTAGAGCTACCTGCAATAATTCTGCTAAAATTTATAATCTAAAATTTTTTTTAAAGTTCAAAACGATCAAATTCAAAATTTTAACTTCAAATTCGTTTTATTTCTTCACATCTAAACATTTTAACCTTTCTTGCTTAAGTTTTTTTTATTTTGAATTTAAATTTTATAATAAAATAATAGATAAAAAAGAAACGAAAGAGAAAGGAGAAAGAACAAACCAATATCATTGATAGCAACACAACGATAAGCGCCATCATCAGATTCCGTACTATGATTGACTGTCAGCAAACAGTTACCATCATCATCATTCTCGATAATAATACGTCCATTATTTCTTAATGGTACTCCATCTTTATACCACGTTATACTTGCTTTTGGTGATGCATCCACTTTACACGATAAGCGTACCGTTTCATCAATATCCGCAAATTTATCCACAAGTGGTGGATTGAAACGTGGTGGAAATTGTTTCTTTGCTATCACTTCTTCTTGTTCTTTCACTAAAAATTATCCGCTTATTTCAATCAAACACAAAAAAATCTAAATCAAAATTAAAAATAATTTTAAAATATATGATAGCAATCCAAACAAAAAAATCCTTCTATTTCAATCAAATACAAAAAAATCTGAATTAAAATTAAAAATAATTAAAACATTTACTATAAATCCATGAAAAACAGTGTGAATTTTTATTAACTAACATGAAATAGTAATTTTTTTGTTACTAACTTTGAATAGTAAGATTTGATCTGGTATCAGCAACTCCAAATGTATTTGAGGCAGTACATTTATAGATGCCAACATCATCTTTACCAAAATTATTAATGCGTACACGACATGCTCCATCGGGTGTATTGCGAATTTCGATACGATCCGATTCAATCAATGTCGCACCATCCTAAATTTTTGCAATCAATCAATCATTTGCTAATTTCCCGAATAACTCAATTCATTTGAAAAACTTGAAATTGAAGCACTGAAAGCGCGAAACACTATATGAAATCAAACCTTCGTCCAAACAATATCAGCAGTTGGTTTTGCATCTACGTGACATTCAATTGTCGTCACTTGTCCTTCCGGTATTCGTCGATCCCAGAGTGATACATTGAATTTCGGTGGATAACCCTCATCAATTTTTCCTTTTCCAGGTTTTAATTCTGTCTGAATTAGTTGCGATTCACATTCCGCCTTTCCATTTTCATTTATTGCAACGCATTTAATACGACCAATAAATTCTTCGGTAACATTTTCGATGATCATTGTCCAATTACCATCACCCATATCTTCAATTTTAACACCATCCAATTCTGCTACATTTTGGTTAGCAATTGACCTGAAATTGCAAATGATTTTTTCTTTACATCCTCTTATTTCTCATATCATTTTTGATATGTTAAAATATTGGAAAATCTAGCAAAAATTTTTTTTTTTAAATTTTATCCAAAATTACTAAATTAATCTTAAAATTCTATTAAATTAATTAACGTACCAATGAAGTGTAGGATTTGGTATACCACGGACTTTAATGTTGAATTCAGCTTTTGTTCCAATTTCTGTTACAACATCTTTAAGTGGAATAACAAATTTCGGTGCTGATGGTAATTCATCAGCATCTAATACCCGAACATTACATTCCGATTTTGATTCACCAACGGAATTGATTGCTGAAACGCTATATCGACCAGCATCTTTCTTTTTACTATCCAGAATACGTAATGTAGCGGTACCATCCATACCCATACGCATTACAACACGATCACCTTTTGTAATTTCGTTACCATCTTTGTACCTAAAAAATATAATTTTTTCTGTTAATTTTATTTTTGTCAAAGTATTATTTCAACATATTAATTTCTTAGCTTCCGTTATGTATTTTTATTTTTCAAAAGTGGAAAATTACACATCCAAAAAAATGGCACTTAAAAATACCGAAGTATTACGTTTCTCTAAAATTGATAAGATTAAAAAGCACCAACCATTTAAGTGCTGGCATTGGTTCACCGGATACCATACACTTCAAAGTTAAATTGTCACCTTCTGGTACATCAACATCTTCTAGTGGTGTAACAAAAGTTGCTACACTTGTAACTGGTTCTGCTTTCTTTGCTAAAAATTATTGAAATTTCATTATCAGAAATTTAATTTTATAACTTTTGAAAATCATGGAAAATTCGACCCGGTTGGTAATGTGAGAACTTTTCAAATTTTCAAATTTTAACTATTTTCTTTAAAAAAACATGAATGAAATTTTACGTTTGACGCGCGTGATGGAACCGTTTTGCACTTCGCCAAATCTATTGGAGAGTACAACACGATATGCTGCATCGTCTGATGTCAAACTTTCAAGTATTGTTAAGGTATATTCACCAGTTTCGGGATTTTCTGTCTGTAAAATTGATTTTTCAAAATTAACAAATAAATAAATGAGTAAAAAGATGAAATTAACTGTCAAGAAAATAACTTACTGCAAGATTGTGACTAAATTTTTTTTCTAAAGTTTGAAATGACGAAAGAAAAAATTTGAAGTATTGAAAATTAAAAAATCTAAAGCATCAAAAACTAAATGCACCAATTTATTCAATTACTTACAATTTGCACACGATCATCTGATTTAAGTTCCTGACCATTTTTGAGCCACTTGACAATTTTCGGCTGCCCCTCAACTTTGACAGAAAGTTTGATCGGTTCACCTTCATTTACTTCAACATCCTTTAGGCTGTCAAGAACTTTCAACACGTCAGGTTTTGAAACAGTCAAACTAGCTGATGAATCACAAGTTCCAGCTTTATTACCTAAGGTTACCTGAAACAAATAAAGTTACTGAAATCTACTCTAATCATGTGTAATTGATCATTTTGAAAAGTTGATCTATTTAATTTGCATTTTCGTGAATGAATGTATTAATTGATATTCCGCTAGCACACTTAACAAACATTCTAAATTTTCGAAATTTACAAAATGAAAATACCTTATAGGTGGCAGTATCTTCTAGCGTTGCTTCAGTAAGTATAAGTTCAAATTTCTTTGAAGTAATTTGCTTCATGATCACCTTTGGTGAAGATTTTATTTCCTGTCCATTCTTATACCTAAATTTAGCAAAAGGAAATTACATATGAAAATGAAACTGGAACAGAAATTTCTACGGAAAGTGTAGGAAAGAAGAAACACTAAATTAAATATAATGGAAATTCAAAACTTCCTTGATTAAACAAAGATATTATGTTCAAAATAATAATTGATATAATATGATTGAAATTTTACCATTTAACTTCCCGAATAGGCACATTTGTTTCAACCATGAAGAGTTGCTCATCACCTTCATTGATTTCACAATCCTCCAGGCCTTTAGTGATTTCAGGCTTCACGTCAACATCTACGCTACCAGCACTCTGTACTTTGCCAACTTCGTTAATTACTTCAACACTATACACACCTGCATCCGTACTATCAACTTGTGGAATTGTTAAGCGATACCTAAAAGAGCTCAACCTTTCAAACCGATCTGATTAATCCGATGTTTTGCACAAAATACAAAATAATAGTTGGAAAAATAGAGCAATCTCAGTAATATCAGTTAGAATTGCGTTTGATCCCTAACGAATAAGACGAGAGAAGGAAATTTGCAGACTTTTAATTGAAATTGGCTAATGTCGAAGTGAAACAAAAGAATAAATTTCTATTGAGTTATTCAAATGATATGAATTTAACTCATAAATCAAATTGCTCACGTTTGTTCATCAATTTTTTCAATTTTAGCTTCAATATTTTCCGGAAGTGGAGTGTCATTTTTGAGCCATCGAACTTCGGTTGGTTCTTCTTCCACTTTGATTTCCAATATCAATTCATCACCTTTTGCAATAACCTGATAAAAATATGAATAATTCACTATATAAATTCGATAACTGAATATTAGAAATATTTACTTGATCCTTTCCATTTTTATCAGTTCTGCCTTAATTCAATATTATTTATTTTGAAATAGAATTTTGAAAAAAAAACAAAGAGAAATAAAAGTTTCACCTGGTCCTCTAAGCCTTTAACAATTTTTGGTTGACCTTTTGACTTTTTAACTGTTAATTTTGCAGATGAATTTGCATCGCCGGCGCTATTTGATAAGACAACCTAAAGTTTCAAAAAATTTACTTGCAAAGAAAGTAAGAATGTTACTAAGTGAATTGCAATTGCAAAATTCTATCGATGAAACCTATTACTGATAATTGTACTGCTTCAAAATTCGAAATTAGCTTTTTTCAGAGAAGTTTTCAAAATGACAAATAATTGCAAACGTATATTACCAAAAAAAACTATTATCCGGATAAATTAACTCTTGAAAAATGATACCTTGTAATCAGCTGCGTCAGCAATTTCAGCTTTCTTAATGATAAGCTGAAATCTTGTCGTGTTATCTTTCATTTCAATTCGTCCACTTATGGGCTTCATTTCCTGTCCATTTTTATACCATTTAACAATTCGTGGATGAATATTTGTTTCGACCATAAGCACTGCTTGTTCAGCTTCTACCACTTCAACATCTTGCAATGGTTTTAGGAAGCTTATCTTATCCTCCACGGTTATCTGAAAAGCTTTTAATAATTAGTATCTAAAATTGAAGTAACCAGTTAAGTTTCCAAAATAATGAATGCAAAAAGAATATAAATAAATATATTAAATATGGTGTATTATCAAATGATATAATTATTACAATGATAGTGCTGATTACACTATCAAAGCTGTTAATAAAATGATAATTAAAGTGGTATTTAATAATATTAGCAAAGAAAAGTATAGCATCACCTCTCCTGAGCTCTTAGCTTGACCTGCTTCATTCTGTACTTCAACCGAATAAGTACCACTATCATTTAAGGTGCATTTCTCGATTTTCAAAACATAATTATTTTCGTCAATCTTTTCTTCTTTGACTGTTTTGTTTGTTTCGGCTGACAGTAATTGTCCATTTTTGTACCATTTTACGACCTTTGGTTTACCTGTTGTCTGTAACATTAATTAATTTCGATCAAGTTAATTCATTTTCAAACTTGTCAAAATTTGGTAAAAAATTCAACCAAAATATAAAGTCTTTCAATTTTTTCACACTTTAAAACTTCTCAAAATTCAACATTCAAATGAAAAAATGATAAAGAAAATTGAATAAATCACCTCAATTGCGATTTCTAGAGGTTTTTCAACTGCAATAAACTGATCCTCAATTCCTTTCTTAATTGTAGGCTTCTCCGCTGGTTTTTTAACTGTTAGCATACAACTCGATTCCACACTTCCTTCATCATTTGAAAGTATAACCTGAAATTGATGAAAAAGTAAATTTCCATCAGACATTTAATATTTTATTTTAAAAAAAAAACAAACGAATGTTAAGGATTTTTACAAACCTTATAATCAAAGGCGTCATCTTCTGTAGCATTGGATATTTCAAGCTGATAATTCTTATCATTTACTTTATTCGCTTTTGCTTTATCATTTGAACCAATTTCTCTACCATTTTTATACCTAAAAAGTAAATATTGAGGATTGCCTGAAATATATTAGAATTATTTCAGCAATTAATTTTTCTTTTAAAAAATTTTATCTTATCGTTATTTTAAGATGATAAAATCATATCAATCTGAATCAATTAACTTACCATTTAACCAATTTCGGTGGTGTGTTAACTTCAACATTAAGTAACACTTTTTCACCAGCATTAACAGTTTGATCCGCTAAACCTTTCGTGATAAATAATGCTGGTAATTTCACGGTTAATGCACAAGAAGAATCGGCCGTATCATCACCATCTGTGGTAACAACAATCTAAAATTGACAAATTAATAAGGTAAAAATAAGAAACAAAAAATTTCATTCAAAAATTAACAAATAGTATTAACTTTCAATAAATCTCGAAATGATCACAATTGAAATTAAGAAAGATGAAAGATAAAATTCAAATATACTTTATATTCAGCAGTATCATCTTTATCTGTATCCGGTATCAACAACTGATATGTGCTATCATTGAGTTTACTCGATTTAGCTTTATCACTTACAGTGATTTCTTTTCCGTTCTTGTACCTAAAAATCAAAAAATTTTCCTTTGAATTATGTTTTAATTTTTTCTTTGAATTATATTTTAATTTTTTTTTAAAATTTGCATTGAAATGCTCCAAATGTCACCACTTACCATTTAACTTGTTTTGGAGGTAAATTAACTTCAACAGTTAGGAGAGCTTTGGTACCAGCGTCAAGTGTTTGATCCTCCAAACTTTTAGTAAATTTAATTTTTGGTAGTTTCACGGTTAGTTTAGCTGAAGACTCTGCATCACCTCCATCATTTGATAACACAACCTGGAAACAAAATTCATTAATTTCGCGATAAGTCAATTTTTCCAGCAGAAGTATTACTAAACTATCATTACGACTTGAATAAATTAAGTGTTGCTCAAAAAATTCAAAATTTAAGCTAACTAGGACAAAAAATTCTTTCATTTTATCAAGAAATCACTTGAAATTTTATCGGTCTCTAGAGAGTTTAAATTATAAAAATGAATCGAAAGTTCTGCTAACATTTATAGCATTTAATTGCTCTATGATAGCTTCTTAAAATAAGAAAAAAAATTGATTAAAATTTATTTAAAATTTTAACCTTGTAATCAGCTTCATCATTTTTGGTTGCTTTATCGATAATTAATTGATATTTATTATCTCCAACTTGTTTCGTCTCAACATTTTTTGCTTCCACGCCATTCTTGTACCTTAAAAATTTCTCAAAATTTTATTTTTACAATAACACAACGTTTTATTATATACGACAAACGAAGAACTCTTCTGGAAAAAAAAAATTTAAGCAAATTCATAAATTCACAAATTATCTAAATTTGGTTTTCTATGAAAGAGAAAAAAAAAAATATGCAAAATTTACACTTTGAATTTTTTTCCAACTTTTAAAAACATTTCTAAATTTATATTTAATTACTAACCATTTGACTTGTTTAATTGGACCTTTGGTTTCTACTTCAAATGTTACCTTCTCACCAATTTCAGCTACTGTTGGCTTTAAGCCGCTGATTATTTCTGGTTTGTCTGAAATTTCACTTATATGCAATATGATTATGATATACAATACGACTGCAATTCCATATCAAGAAATAGTCATTAATTACAGTACCTGCTAACAGTGTAATATTTGCTTTAGATTCGACTTGACCGGAATCGTTAGATACTTGTACGGTATATTCACCCGCATCATTTTCCTTAATTTCATCTATAATCAGCTGATATTTTCCGTTACCAAGGTCTTTAGCTTTCATTATTTTATCATCTACAGGTATACCATTTTTTAGCCATTTGATTTGTTTTGGTGTACCGTCCAATTCAATCTGAAAATGCAAATTTTAGCTTAAAATGAATAAACTTCCATGGATAATTCATTTGTGCATATTGTTTAAATTTCAATTTAATTTAAACTCTTCGAGCTTTTGCAACTATTATTGTGATGATGAAATTTTTTAAAATTTAATCTTAAATTTATTGCAAAATAGCTTCTTTTTTTACATTCTACCAATATATTCTACAAGGTGAAACTTGCTTACCTCAAGGACAAGTTTGGATCCTTTTGGTACACTCTTATCTTGAAGACCTTTTCGGATGACTGGTGCTACTTCACTTTTGAATACAGTTACTGCACAACATGATTCGACAGTCTCGGTATCAGTTGATAAGATTACACGATACGTTCCTTCATCTGAACTTTCTGCTTCCTCAATTTCTAAGCTGTATTCATGTTCCTTGATTGTTTCCTGTTTGATCCGTCTAAAATCAATTTTATTGTTTCAAGATTTCATTTCTATCTCAGATCATTTTAATTCCAATTATTTGCTTAGCTCATTTCAAAACAAAAAATGTCTAAATTTCTTAATTTTCTTTATTTTCCATTTATTTCTTACTAATATATTTTGAAATTGTCAAAAAATTCATCCTACTTGTTTGGTTTAATTTCATCCTTTCCACGAAACCATTTAACTGTTTTCGGTTTTCCTTCAACTTCAATAAACAATCGAATTTTAGCTCCAACTTCTACTATCGTATCTGTCAAACCTTTCTTCAACTTTAGAGTTTCCAATTCTAAAATACTTCGATATTAGATAAATAATTTCAGTCATTTTCTTTCTTGTTTTATAAAATTTTAATTTAACCTGCTGATAAAAAGCATGAACCATTTCTGCACCATCTATATAACTCATTATAAGTTTGTCTTCATATAAAAATTAAAAAAAAAAAAATTAAAGCATAGAATGAATTTATTGAAAATACTTTACCATTAACAGTTAGTGGAGCTTTTGAACTCATCGATCCGGCATTATTTGTTGCTTCACATCGATAATTACCCTGATCTTCAATATTAACTGAATCAATTACCAAACGATTTGTACCATCCGGTAAACTTTCAATTCGAATATGCTCATTAGGTTTTATCTCATCACCATCTTTGAACCATTTTACCTGTGGCACAGGAATACCAACTACTCTAAAAAACAACATATATTAAAGATAATGTACCAATGATATCAGTCAAGCTAATCATTTACTACTGCTATCAACTTTACATTTCAATGTTACATAATTTCAAACTTTTTATAAAATTTCACAAATTTAAACTTTATATGGCATAAATGACACTTACCGACATTCGAAAGAGATCTGCTCTCCTTCCGTACCCTCTACCGCTTTTAATTCCTGCGCAAATTCCGGTGAACTTTCACTTACAACCGGTATTTCAAAATCATACAGCACACTTAACGTTGCATCGGTACGTGCTGTACCGAGCGTATTCTGTGCTTCACATCTGAATTCACCACCATCTTCCTGCAAGCAAATTTGTACATTTTCATTATCAAATGATTAAAATTATAAAAAGAAAAGACTAATTAATTTTATCTGGATCCGATCAAAGTATATTATGATGGTTACTACCTTTTTGACTGAATCAATAATCAACCGAGCGGTACCATCCGGAAGTGTTTCATTTTTGAAATGCGCATCATTTGCGGTGATTTCTTTTTTATCCTGAAAATTTGATAAAATTTCACTCAACATTGATATCATGAGCAACAAGAAATGTTAAAAAAAATTCTTGAAAATTTAAATATATTATGAGATTTTTCAACTAAAAAAAAAAACAATGACCAATCTTTTTCTCAATAAGCTATGGTCAGAATTGAAATAGCATATGAATTAACGAAATTTATTTTCATAAAAATTCCTACCTTGAACCATTTAATTTCAGGCATTGGTTCACCAACAATTTTACATTCCAATACAACGTGTTCCGATTCTTTAGCACAGATTCTTTCTAACGTTTTCAGGAATGTTGGCGCTGTATATTCCATTCCGCCTTCCTCCTCTGATACGGGAACTAAAATAAATTTTAGTAACGGTTTTAAATTGTAGTAACATTTAACACAAATTCAAATAAATTTCACTTTCAAAACTTCACTATTATTCAGATATTCAAAAAAGCTGTTCTGAAACAAAAAAGTTTGAAGATTCGAAATTCAATGAACTTCCTCGAAAGATGAGAGTAATGAAAAAACCTTGAACAGCTAATGTAGCATCACTCCATACATCACCATATTGATTACTTGCAACACAACGATATTCTCCGGCATCTTCAGTAGTTGCCTTTTTCACTATAAGTCTTTGAGTACCATCGGGAAGATTTTCAAGTTTAATGTTCGCATTTTCCTTCACAATATTTTCACCGCTGAACCATTTAATTTCTGGTGTTGGTTGTCCTTTGACCTTACCCTCCAATATTGCTATTTCACCAACAGAAACCTGAATAAGAAGAATAACGATGATAACAGAATGCAAATAATAATTATAGCTAAGAGAATTCTTACAAACTAATCTATTAGCATGATGAAGTAAAATTTTATTTTAATTTAACACTGAAATTTAAAATTTTTTCTTAATCAATTCTTTATCCTTACTATATAATGTATTCATTCATTTAATTTAAATATTTCTAAGTAGCATATTATACTTACGTTAACAGGTTTAATTGGTTCAATGAAATCAGGTGCTTCGCCTTCTTGCTGCAAATCTGATTCGGTTGCAACTCGTACAGGTCCAGCAGTCCATGCAGTACCAAATGTATTAACTGCATCACATCGATATTCACCACTATCCTCTTTTCTAGCATTCTTGATCTTCAGTACAATGGTACCATCTTCATGGTACTCAGCGGTCATACGGTGATTTTGAGCTAACTGAAATAAAAAGAAAAATAAAACGAAGGTGAGTTTTTTTTCTTTTCAAATATCAACCAAAAAAATTTTAGAATGTAATTCGGGAAAATTGAAAATTCGAATTTATTTTAAATCGATTTTCTAATAAACAATATTTCGATTGCATTTTCGCAGATATCATTTCATTTTTGATATCTTCAAAATATTAATGGAAAATTTGATAATTTTAAATTAAATTAAGATTGTTACAAGTAGTCTTATGATATTGGTTTATTAATTTAGTCTTATGATATTGGCAATTTTAAGATATTTAAAAAACGAACCTAACTCAATTTATATTTCTAATTAGGAGAAAAGAAATTACCTTGACCCCATCTTTCATCCAAGATATCGTCGGTCTCGGTAAACCTTTTAGTTTGCATTGAAGGACAATTTCAGCATTTTCAGTTACCGTGCACGATTTCAAAAGTTCCGTAAACTCAGGTGGTCCTTCTTCTTGTACTGCCTTTTTCGCTGTTTCTAAAATTAAATTTTAGCTAAAAAAAATTAAACTGTAGCTAAAAATTAAGCGAATTAATAAAATACACTACATTTTCAAATAGATTAAAGCGAAGCTTCAGAAAGCAAAAATTTAAAGTTAGCATAAAAGTGGGAATTGTTTAAGATGAAGTAGGGATAGCATAAAGATTTCTCTGAAACAGCAAAGAATTCTAGCTTAATTTAGCATCCTAAAATTTAATCGATATAAATTTTTGAATCGAAATCTTGGCATTGCGTATATGGAATATTCAAGCTTATTAAGCATAGGCGCATGCATATTGGCATTAATTATTATTAAGCTTTGGGACAAAAAAAAAAGATAAATCATGCATGAATCTCATAGCTATCAGAAATCTTCTAAGTACTGCTTCATAACTTAAATTTATTCCTCCCAACAATTCTTCAAACTTTCAAAGCAACAACAGCAAAAAAGGAGTTAAAAATTAAACATATAAATATAATTCAAATCTTTGAATTAAAAAAAAAAAACTCTCTCAATTAACCATGAATGAATGCAGTATATAAAAGATTTCATGATTTAACGAGCATTTCATCCACAACCTAAAATACTGAGTTTTCCTTCGGTCCATGCAGATGAATCACCAATGGAAGCTGTACATCGATAAGTTCCACAATCTTCTTCGGTTACTTTAGCAATTTTTAATTTTTGGATACCGTCAATAAGCTGCTCAATGGTAACGTGTTGTGCTAATACATCTGAGCCATCTTTGGACCATTGTATTTGAACGTCACCTTTGGTAGCACTTAAAGCACATAGCAATTCTGTTGCGGAATTAGCAGGTGCGATAACATCACTTAAGGGCTGAATAAAACCAATTAAAGCTGATTCATCTTCAATTTCTTCCATATCTTCTGTTGCAAAATTAAGCTTCGCTGCAGTTGTTGCTTTTCCGGATTTATTGATTGCTTCACATCGATACATTCCAACATCTTCTTTGGTAGCATTTTCAATTGTTAACTTTATGATACCATCATCAAGTTTTTCCACAATTAAATGTTCGTTTGGTTCAATTAGCTTATCACCTAAGTACCAATGAATGTTAGCTTTCGCATTTTCATTCACTCGACATTTTATACTGATCGTTTCACCTTCTTTAACGGTATGTGCTTCCAATGGTTCGATAAACATTGGTTTAACTTCTTCCTCTCGCATCTTTTCAAAACCATATTTTGGAAATTTAATTTTTCCAACATTTTCAGCGGTACCAATTGAATTGGTAGCAACACATGTATAGGTACCAAAATCTTCCTCATTTACATTATTAATTACTAATGTTTGCTTTCCAGTTTCATCATCCTTTTTGAAGAAATGATTGTTATCAATGTTTATCACAATACCATTTCTCATCCATTCTACCATTGGTTTTGGACTGCCAATAACGGTACATTGAAGTTCTGCTTTATCACCTTCTTGTATTTCTAATTCACCAATTTCATCTGTAAATGATGGTGGTATCAATTCCGAAATAACAGCTAATTTTGCTTCTGTTTCTTCGGTACCAGCTAAATTAACAGCTTTACAAGAATAATTACCCATATCTTCCAGTCGAGCTTCTTTAATTATCAACGTATTATGTCCTTGTTCATCTTTTTTTGCTAAAATATGCACATTATCAATGTTAACTGGAACACCATCTTTTAACCATACTACCTCAGGTATTGGTTTTCCAGCTACCGTAACCGACAGTTGTACTGTTTCATTCTCTTGCACCGAAATTTCTTGTAGAGTTTCAATGAATTTTGGTACTTCAACGGTTTCTTCAACTGCAAATTTAGCTTCAGTTTGAGCACTTCCAACTACATTGGTAGCTTTACATGAATAAACACCTGCATCTTTTAAGCGAGCTTCCTTGATGACCAATGTAAAATGCCCTGCATCATCTCTCTTCACCAGAATATCCTTGTTATCAATGTTTACCGGAACTCCATCTCTATACCATGCTATTTCAGGTGTTGGTTTTCCAACAACTGTTACCGATAATTCCGCAGTTTCACCTTCCTCTACCGAAAATTCTTTCAACCCTTCAGAAAACTGTGGTAATTCATTTTCTTGCTCTACTGCAAATAAAGTTTTGGTTTCCGTTTCACCGATTTTATTGTAAGCTTTACAAGAGTAAATACCACCATCTTCTAATTTAGCTTCCTTAATTACTAAGGTATAATTACCATTTTCATCTTGTTTGGTTGCAAAATGAACATTATCAATATTTATAGGTACATCGTTCTTCATCCAGCAAACTTCTGGTTTCGGTTTTCCGCTTACTGTAACTGCAAGTTCAGCAGTTTCGACTTCTTTTACCGTGATTTCGGATAATTGTTTGGTGAACTTTGGTGCTTGTTGAAGTTCAAGTACCACAAATTTTGCTTTACATTCTTCAGAACCCGCTTTATTAGATGCTTTACACGAATAAACACCAGCATCTTCTAACTGGACCTGCTTAATGGTTAGAATATGTTGACCGGTTTCGGTTTCTCGAACGAATACTCGTTCACTATTGACTTGCACCGGCGCACCATCTTTGAACCATTGTATCTCAGGTGTAGGTACTCCAGTTGCAGCTACCTTCATTTCGATACTTTCTAGTTCATGAACTTCTAAATCAGTCAACATTTCTGGGAATTTTGGTGGTACAGCGACCGATTCCACGGTAACTTCGGCACTTGACGCCTCCTTACCCTCCGAATTGACCAGCTCAACCCGGTAACTTCCAGCTTCTTCCGGTTTCGCATTTTTAATGATCAATGTAGACTGGCCTTTTTCAGTTTTTATTGTGATTTTTTCTTTTTCTTCCACGATTTCCTTGCTATCTTTGAACCATTTAACATCTGGTAGTGGAATACCGGAAAATTTCACCTCCATAATGATTTCATCACCCTCAGTAACCTTTCGATTCTTTAATACTTCAGTTAATTCAGGTTTTCGATTTGTTTCTTTCTCCTTAATTATCGCTTCCGATTCTACCATACCGACAGAATTGATAGCAATAGCACGATACTTCCGGAAATCAGATTCTTCCGCTTTCTCAATTACTAATCTCCAATGTACATTAGAAATATCATGTTCAATGGAATGATGAGAATCCGAAATAATTCGGGTGGATTCCCGAAAGAATTGTACGGTTGGTTGTGGTGAACCTTTAACGGAACAATTCAAAATTACTTTCTCACCTATGCTTACTTCTTTAGAACTGATGTGACGGGTAAATTGTGGTGCTTCAGCTGAAAACAAATAAAGCAACAGGTGAATAGAGAGCGGTTGCCGGTGAACAAAAAGCCTAAGGGAATATAAATAATCTCCTGAATTGTAAAATAATTCTGTGAAAGAAAGTCGAACTTTTAATTTATATCATCGAAAATTATATATATTATCATTTTTTTACTATTTAATTTCAATGCTTATATGTTACATTATATTGCTTATAGTGCAATTACTGTAAAAGAAATTGAGAAAGAATGAAAGTAATGTAGAAGGAATACAATTTAATTTGATGTAATGATAGGAGGGTGTTCATTATGTTATGAGATCCGCTTATCATTGCTCTTATCATTATTTGAAAATTTCATGAACTTACCCAATACAGTAAGCGTTGCTTTTGACTCTGCTTTCCCTTCAATATTTTCAGCCAAACATATGTACTGTCCTCGATCAACAACATCAGCCGAAACGATAACTAACCGCTGTATGGTACCTTCTGATTCAATGATCGTTTTACTCGTTTCTTCAACTAGCGGAGTCTGAAGAAATATTTATTTCGATTTATGATTAATTTTTAATGCTAATTCTGTCCATTAATTAATAAAATTTTTAATTCAAATTTCAATCATTTTGATTTTTATCTTTTTTCTAAGCAAAAAAAAAGAAAACCTTTTCATGGAACCAAGAAATTGTTGGTTGCGGTTCACCGATTACTTTACATTCGAAAACAACTTCTTCCGCTTCATTACATGTTTTATCTTGTATAGCGACAACAAATTCCGGTGCATACGTTTCCGGTTTCATAAGCACTTCTGGAACAAAAAAAAAAAAGAAAGAAAGCTATCCTGCATGATTTTTCAACATCACTTTCTACATAAAATTCTCGATTAAATTTTTTTCGCACTTTCACTCAAGCAAAAAGCTATAAAACAAATCTTTGAATGAATTAAAAACAAAAAAAATAGGTTAAATTTTCAAAATTTAAATTATAAATTTCAGAATAATGATGTTATACTACTTCAAGCATTATGCATATATACTTACCGATGACATTTAATGTTGCTTCGCAAGAATCTTTGCCAGCAAAATTTTCCACCACAACGGTATATTTTCCAGCATCTTCCGGTACAACGTCATCAATGATCAGTTCACTGCTTACATGACCTTCTATGGTTCGAGTTTGTACACGAATTCTTGCAATTAACTCTATCTCACGTCCATCTTTTAACCTTAAAAAAAATCGAAAGAAAAAAAATGATTGAAAAAATGAAGTGAAAGAAATATGTTTCAAAATTTCATTTCACAAAAAATTCATCCCAGAAATTCGAATATCATTTCAAATTAAACTTCACTATTTACCATTTGCAACAAACACCCTTAGTATCTGGAACAACACACTCGAAGATTGCTTGATGTCCACGTGCTGCTCGTGTATCTTTAATTTTAGTAATAAATTTCGGAGCCATAATTGGTGTTGGCGTACGTTGAAATTCTTCCATGGAATCTGCTTCCGTACCTGAAGTGAAAAAAAATGCACACTGAATGCAAAAATTTTAATTTGAAAGAAATTTGTAAACAGTATGATGTAATTTAAAATTTAGAAAGTATGAAAATAAATTTTTAAGAGTAATTTGAATTGACGAAGCGTACCGAATTCTGGACCTTCTTCAAAGTTAAGCACTTCTTCGGCCATTGCTTCAGATTCCGTCTGTGATTCCGAGAACATATCTGAGGTATACGGCTAAAAAAAAAATGCTTTATGCAAAAACATTTAACAAAGTAACAATCATTTTCGCCAAAAAAAAATTATTTTTTTTTTCAAATTTTTATTTCATTCAATATTTTCCAGGTACTGGAATTCAAAAAAAAATCAAGCTAACTTTGATATTTTTGAATGTTGAAATTTATAAGAGTTATTCAAATTAAAATTTCACTAATTAAAAATTTCAGTATCACTCACCCCCATGCTAGCTGTACATGACACTTCACCGGCATCATTTTCAGCTTTACAAATAATTTCACCGGTATGCTTATCTTGATTGAAATTTTTGATCACCAACGTTGATGTGTTATCATCCGTAACAATAGTGATTTCATCACTGTTTTTTATCTCTTCATTATTAATATACCATGTAAGATTTGGTTTCGGATCACCCGTAAAAACTACCTGAACTATGAATGTTATTATTTATAGCTTTAAAAAAGTTCAATTGTTAAATTTTGTTGAGTAAATATTTGAATATTAATATTGAAAATTTTCTCCTTATTATAAATAGAAATGATCTAACTTTTTTTTTTGTAAATATTATATCATTATTACTTCTAATTTTTTCTTTTTTCAAAAAGTTTGGTTTGTTCAAAATTATCAAAAATTTTTGTATCCGATTTTGACATTCCTGCGATATAATTCATTCATAAGCTTACCTTATGGGTAACCTTTGACCCTTGTCGTGCTTTCACATTGCTAAGCCATTCGATGAAATCTGGTGGCTCACCTCGTGGTAATACCAAAAGTGATGCTTCAGAGACTGCCTTACCATACTCATTTACTGCCTCACATAAAACCTAATTTTGCAAAAAAAAAACGTTATCTAATTTATTTTCAATAAAAAAAAATTTTTTAAACTAATTTTGAAATAAAATTTAGAGAAAAATAGTCAAAAATTATAATAATAAGGAAAATTTTTTTTTAAAAAAAAAGACATTTTATAATAATGAGGAAAA